TAATGACTATCTCTATACAAAAATCAGTTCGGCTATATTATTTGTCTGGAATTGACTGTTATATTTACACATGCCTTAGAATTCAACAAAATTCTAAAAGTTATGCAGTAATTGACCTAATTGTGCACTCAAATTAAGCAATGAAAGTGATATTAAAGAAAAATGAAAAAGCATTCCTTATTTGTTCTTTAAAACGACAATCATGATTTTACTTGCTGTGTGTTATTATACGTTAATGATTTAGAAAAGACATTAAGGGTAACTAGTAAGGTTCTTAACGTTATTATTATTATTTTTTAAAATTTTAAACTATAATATGATTCTTCATTGTCACTCAACTACATTGGAAATTTGGGTGAGTTTGACAAATAGAGCAGAAGCTTTTGTTTATTAAATTACAAAATGTACAATTCAAAGCAGAAATTAATAGATCTAAAGTATGGGTATATTGAAGCAAGTTGTAGGAAACTGTATTTTGTATGGAAAGTAGGGTTCATGGTATAAAGAAAAAAAATTATTTATTCATCTTTTTAAATCTGAAGAATTTCAATTTAATAAATAAACTCGGTTATTTTTCAAATTCCCAACTGGTTGTTCCACTACTTTGCTTCCAAGAAATTCAAGACTGAAACTGAATGATCTTTGATTAATCAAATCACTTCTTAATCGCTCAAACCGGGAGATCATTTTGTTCATCTGATTTTTTCAGATTTTGCCGAATACCCACCTGACAATACACAACTTACAAACGATTATATTATCTTTCTGCAATATTTTCAAATGATCTTTCTTACAAACACAAATAATAGGCACCTTCAACAACATTTTGTAGAAGACAGATGATTAAATATTTTGTTTTTAGTAATAAATTTTGAACATCGCAACTATATTACGTTTTTCTCTAACAGAAACTTTTTTCTTTCAACAAAACCAAGGACGGATTGGTAAAGGAAATTCAATCATTCAACCCTGCTAATGTACAATATGCCTTCCAAATTCTATTGCATATTCCAGTAAGTATAGAAAAGCTGTGTTTGGACAAATCACTGTAGAAAAACAACTGATTTTTGTACACCCAGGTAACCTATTTTCTCT